CCAGTGGGAATAGTCTGTGCCTATAAACACTTTTTCATTTAATGAAACCAGCTACTGAGTGTTCATTTGTAGCCTACTTTATTACTCATGGGTGGAATCCAGCAGGGCGCTTAAGCCTTCTGCCAATTCCCTTATGGCCTGCCAATTTCCATCCACAAGAAGAACCCACTACTTACAGAGGGAAGATTTAGTACTTCTAGGGCAACCAGAAAGGAGCAAAAACACTTGCTTCTGGAACATGGCAAGTCAATTACAGGATGGAAGTGTAGTGAACATTACAATGTGGATCCTCTATTTCTTCAGAGGTTTCACAGCAGCATAACTTTAACACAAGCCCTCTGTTGGCTGCAAGAAATATCATCTGAAATATTTTTCCCCATTTCTGATGAGACAAGAGACAGGTTTTGGCCTTGGAACCGGGGAGGAAAAGCCATTAATGGTCCAACCCACACCATCCCAATATGGGTCTGACGGGAAGAAGATACAGGAACTGAGATTGTCAACACTGACATGGGGCTGGTGGGTAGCTTATATGAATGCACAGACGACCACTCAAAGAACATCGGATACAGTTAAGTCACCTTACTTTATAGAACGAGACTGATAGAAGATTCTAGAAGATAGTCATGAAACAACAAGGGAAACACTAGGAAGAAACCAGAGGCACCCAAAACATTAGTCAGAAAAATACTGGAGAAAAGGGTGGGAGGCCTTCCTATATATACCGGGGAAGAGGCTCCCCAAAATGAGTTTGGCTAGGAAATCGTCCAAACAACTGGTTCCACGCAGGTGCAGAGTCCACATGCATGATGCACAGAGACCACACAAAGAATGCTAGCTGGAACTTTACAGGAACACAAGAAGCTTCCAGACCCTTGGTCCATCAAGCCCAGTACTCTTACACTGAGTGGCTCTCCAGGGTTGCAGGTGTGGTTTGTTGCTGGCCCTCTTAGGAAATACCAGGAATTGACCTGGGACCTTCTGGGTACAAAGCTGGTGCTCACCAATGAGCCACAGTTCCCTTTAGCACCTAGGACAGAAAGCCATGAACCTTCCTTGTTTAAAATGGCTGTTCACATCTTTCCTATTCTTAATTAATTAATATGCTATGCCATAGCTGAAGTTCTCTGGGGAGTTTACAACAGATAACAGTTTACAATATTTGCACAGAGAAAATAAAGGAACATGGACCACTGTGATTTCTCAATCTGAGATAGTTAAACAGGGATGAGGCTGCTGTTTTCTGAGGACAGGAGTGAAGCCCAAACAAAAGGGACACGCATGGCTGTGTGAGAAATCTGTACCTCCCTCTTTCAAGCATACTGGGGATTGCTGGGGCGATGCAGAATCCATTCCACTGAGGGGTGCAGTTCCATGAAAACTGCCACTGGATTTGTCCCGAGGAAGCAAAAGGAGGCGGCAAAATGCCCAATGTATTTTGGTAGGACTTTCAGGGGAACTAAAACAAATAAACAATCAAATCATAATAGGGGTGATTATATACAAAGCATGAGTTATAATAGAACAACCAATGTTAACAATAACAATGATACTTGCTGTTATCATTATATTATTATTTTATTACATTTATAGCCCTTCTTTTTCCTGCAAGGAAAAAGGAAATTTATTCTAATTCTCTTCCTGGTCTTTATATAACCCTGTGAGGTAGATCAGACTGAGAGTCAAAATCTAGCTTCCTCAAAGTCACCCAGTCATTATTATGGCTTGAGTGGGGACTAGAACCTAGAATTCTTGAGTCCAGTCTAGTTCTCTAACCAGTATACCACACTGGCTCTCAGTAGTAACAATAGTAATTCTATTAAGTCTATAATATGTCAGACATATTAGGAAAAAAATCTAAATGTATTGGTATTAGTAAACCAGTGCTTGTATATGTTTTATCTTTCTTGATAAACAGATGTACAAGTGCCGGGGTGTGGGGGGGGGGTTCCAGAACAAATTTGTAAAGAGGACAATGTTCCTGTTTAGGATCCCAGGCAAACCACTTGCCCTCTCATCTTGTTCCCTGTTCCATCCCCATTAAGAAGCCAGCATTCTGTGGCACTTGAATTCAGTCCTCACTGGGCTGTTCTTCCTGGGCAGAGGAGTACTCTTGCAAACTTTGACACTCCCATGACCATGCCAATATCCCCCATTTTGCTTCTTAATGGTTCTGTTTTGGCTACTGAGTCACTGTAATTCATCACCTACAGCGCAATTAGAACAGATTCATATATTTTAACTTACACCTGCCTTCTTCTGAAGTTATCTTCAGTGCTATCAATGGATATTTATAATATATTAGCCAAACAGCGGCAAGTTCCCATTTCTTTTCTACTGCCTTTTGAAAACATTTTCATTGTAGTTACAGTCTTGAAAACAAAAGAAATGGATTGTGTCCTTCAGAATGAAAGCTGCATCTCATAGATTATAGGCTACAGTAATAATAATGAATCCTAATTTGCTGCAGCAATAAATGCATTAGCTGAGGGAACATTCTAAGTAGGCATTTGTTTCCATTAGCCACTCAGAAAACATGTTGCCAAGAAAAACAGAGACTTTGGGAACAACCTTGGGATTTTTGTTCCTGAGGCTGATGGAAACCAGAAATCTTTACAGATTTGAGAGTAGTTCTCTGGGAAAAGTTATTATTTCCCAATGTTTGAGCACCACCCGGTAGCCATTGTATGAAATAGCATATGTTGTAAACACTGAAGTGGTAAGAAACTAGCACACAACAAAGCATGGATGGAAGATGTGAAAATACAGTAAAATAAGGTGGAACACTCAGCCACAATATTAGTGAAGTAAATAAAATTGAACACTGAGGAGGAGGAGGAGGAGGAGGAGGGGAAGGAGATGACAACAACATAGCAGCAGCAGCACCACCCTGGTCATATCAGTCAATTCTACACCATCATGAGAGGCAAGAATGGAACAGGAATTAAGCAAATCCTCAATTCTGCAAAGGTTTGACTCCTCACCAACAGCTGAGGCACCTTCTCCCAACTTAGTGTTGTGTTCGGCTACAATTTCCATAAACCCAACTAGTATGATTAACTTTATCATTCAACATAGCTGGAGCACACCAAGTTGGAGAAAAGGAATGAGAGGTTTACAACTATTTGTCAGGCAAATATACAGAAAGGCCTATCTTCTCTTGTTGGTACTGCAAGAACACAATAACACCTTGACTATGGTTAGCTACATTCATTGTTGCATTAGCTGGGATGCAGAACTGATTTTATCTGCAAGCAAATATCCAAAAGGAGTAAAGATGAAATGTTTACATTGACATATGGGATAGTGAAACAGGGAACTGAAGCAGCTGCAAGGCATAACCAAGAAATCATATTCTAGGAAAATTGCTCAGATTGCTAATCTTCTGAAGGAGAAGAGAGCCCAGTTTTGCACATCTAGGCACATACTCAGGACTAGAAAATACCAAGTAAAACCACCAGTTGCATAAGTTTTCCCCATTTGGGGTATAAACACTAATGGGAAGAAGTCCATTTCTCCTTGGGAATTTCAAGTGGATTTGGAGATTGTATTTATCTCAGTGGTGGTGCTTTCAGTTTAATTTATGAAGTCACTTTTAATCCAAAGGCATATGACTGCCAGACATTGTTGCTGTCTAACTAAGAGAAACTTTTCTTTGTCAAGGAACCTTGCATCAGCAACCAAATAATGAAATGCAAGAGCACGTAGGTCCCTGCCATATGGACTGTGGATAACTGCAGCATGAGGGAAAGTCCTAGTCTTTCATATATCCCTACCATGCATAAATTGCATGTAGTTTGGGATAACAGACACTCTTCTGCAGCACATGGGCTATGCAATTCACTTGTATTATACACCATTTCATTCATTTGACTAAATATCAAATTATTCCAGCTTAGAAGGTAAAAGCAAAAAATACCCCCAACACACACACAAACACACACCAACCATTATATGTTTTTTTCTGACTGTGGTAAAGGAGGCCCCTTGCAGAGCACAGCTAGTTCCAAGAAATAACGTTTTCACTCCAATTCGAATGAAAAGTAGTTCTGTCATTCTGACAGATGACACTTGTTAATCTGTAAAAGGTCTGTCCAGATACTGCACTGCTGCACCTTGAGCCCCAGCCCTTCACATGTGAACATACAAGAGAGGCATACTGCTAGCAGGGAATAGTTTCAAATACTTTTCTTATTAAATAAGGCAATTTGGTGTCTTTGGAAACATAATTATACATCAATTGATATCATTACTTACATGAGCTTTAAGCTCTTGATCAGGATAAAGGCTTTAAGATGAAATGTTCCCTGAACCCTTATTTGGAATAACTGCTCAACAGTTTTAGACAGAGAAAATGGGAAGTCTGGACTATATAATTTTCACTGTCAAAAGCTGTCTGCTAAGTAAAAAGTCTATTTTTAGACGTGTCAGATTAGCAAACTACTGTGCTACTTGTAATCCAAGGAGAGAGAAATTAATAGATCTAATGTTAATGGTTCCTGAGATGTTAACATTTGCTTTACTTGGCTCAGCTTGCTTTTCAGGATTGGACTGAGCACATGAGAAAATACATGGATTAAGGAGGGGCAGATTCTGAAAGGGTTTGTCCCAAACCTAGTCCAATGTGCACATGAAACATTTAAATTGCTCCCTCTCTAATGAATATGGTAGTTCAATAAGTACATCTTCTTGTTTTTCAGGTGAGGAAAACAAGAAGATGTTTTCGCTGCGGACAGTTTTTGCTGTGTGGAACTAAATGGAGATGTCTCGAGAATGGGAGGATATTGTGTATATGCTGGAACACATGAAGTCCAGATTGGGACAATTGCCATTTAAAATGACATTTTTGCTTAAGCTTGTTCCAGCTCACATTAGACATCACAGCAAACCACCATTCACTGAGCTCGATATTAAATTCTGCCAATTATCGGAATGGGAGGAATTCAAAGGAGAAAGCCTTGTCTGTAAGTGCTATAGAAGAGTCTTGCAAAAATACTCACCCATCATTGGAACACGTCAAAAACTCCTCCTTTATTTTGGGATGCCAACAGCCTGTGTTAAGCATTGCTGTGTGCCCCTAGGAAAAGCAATAGAAGGTGTGGGTACTACAAGCAATGATGCAAACACTGTTTTAGTAGACATTTTTGCTCTCTTTCCTTCTAAACATTTCAGTAAACAAATACTGCACATCAGCACTATTCTATACATAGCTGTATTCCTTAACTGCAAACTGCTTCATAAAGAAGAGGAACTAACAACAGCCATCCAGAATATGATTGACACCCATGTGCTCATGTTTTATGCATTCTCCATCTTTTCACCCTTGTTATGTCTTCTCTTTCACCTCTACTTATCCCTCTTCAGCATCTAAATAAATCAGTGCTATTCTAAGTAATGAAGTGCTGGGGGGGGGGGGGCTCATCTGAATGTGCAACTGTATCTTTTTAAATGTTTAATGTGTAAGATAATTATGTAGCTACCGAACCACTGAAGTTCAGGAACTGTCACCTTGCACCTCGCATTCCATTATATTTCCAAAATCACTCTGTGGTATTAGAGATACAAAACACATACAGATAATCATACCTCAGCTTAATAAACTGAGATGTACTCCCTTAACTCTTACCTTTAAACCAGGGAATCTCTAACCATAGTTTCTCTCAAAACTATGGTAAAAACCTCTGGCTTGTTTTGAATCTGGTAAACATAATCTTCCAGCTCAGATGGAACAGAAGACTAGTTAATTTTAGGCTTCCTAGTTTTATTGCAGCTCAAGCAAAAGGACTGCATGCCAAGGCAAAAAGTTTTTTTCATACCTCAATTTAATCAGCCGAGATATGCTTGTCTGAATGAGGCCACTATCTCAACTAGTTGCAAGCTGCTATGGAGAAAGTTGTAGCAGCTTATCTGTTCCTAGGTGCCATATAACAAATATTTAATAAGATCGCACTTGAACTGAATATGTCCTTTGATTGCAGTTATATTCTAAATGTTTATAAAAGTAGAACATGTATTATTTTTCCAGTAAACACGGCCTGACAAATTTGTGGGGCCCACAGCAGCTCATGGGGCAGTGTAAAGGGAAGGAGACAAAGGTACAGTTCATTTGCCAAATTTAAGATTTTTCCTGGTATGCTCAATTAAAGGTTCACAGAGATTTTAATCTCGGGTAGCAAATGAAGACACACCATGTCATGTGTTCAAGTAAAGTACAATAGAGTTGAGCATTAGCTGAAGAACCAGAATGGAATTATTATATTGCATCCTTTCTCCCCACCCTCTTTGCAAGGAACCAAAGCAGCTTCCACAGTCCTGTTCCACTCCATTTATTCTCACAACTACAACTTTGTGAGGTGGGTTATGCATGAGTTAGAACTAGAACCCAGAACTCCCAGGTCCATAGTCCAACAGTCTATCCACCACAGCACAAATAAATTTGGCAATGCTGCTGAAAACAACTTCAAATAAACATAGCAGAAATCATGTAGTTGCAAAGTTATCATAACGGAATAGGAGGTGTAAAGTGCCAGTGCTAGGATTGTCTACAGTGACAGTGCAGATAGTTGCCATATGGCTTGTCAACCTCCACTGAGGAGAAGAGGACCATTAATGGAGATAATGACGTACTCTCAAGCCAGGCACTAGAACTTAAGAAAAGCCCTGCTGGATGAGATCAAAGGTCCTCCTAGTCCAGCACTCCATAGACACCAGCAAACCAGCTGCTCACAGGATCCCACAAGCAGTTTAGGTGCAAGTCCTCCTCCTGCCCAAGCTCCTCAGTAACTGGCATATGCAGGCAGGCCACCCCTGGTAAAGGAGGCAGCACACAGCCAGCGAGGCTCCTAGCCTCCCCACTCATCCATCTGTACAATCCCTTTTTGAAGCCATTAGCAGCCATCGTCACTCGCCATGGCAGTGAATTCCATAGTTTAACTATACAGTGTGTGAAGAAGTACTTCCTTTTATCTGTCTTGAACCTCCCACCAATCGGCTTTATGGAATGATCCTGTATTTGAGTGCTATGGGAGAGGGAGAAAAATATCTCCCTCCTACTTCTCCACACAATGCATTATTCTAAACACTTCTATCATGTCCTTTTTTCTAAGCTGAACAGCCCCAGTTGTTGTAGCTGCTTCTCTTGGGGCTTGCTCCAGCTCACTCATCCTCTTTGTTACCATTCTCTGTACTTTTTCCTACTCAACTATGTCCTTTTTCAAGTAAGGCAACCAGAACTGAACACTGTATTCCAAGTCCATTGGGAGGAACTACCATGTATTCCCACCCTGTTTTCTGTTCTTTAACCAGCTAGTGATCTATAAAAGGGTTGCCGGATTTTATTCCATGGCTGCTTAGTTTGCAGGTTACCTTGGTGTTCGCCATGTCTACGATGTACTGGTCTCCTTTTACACACTCCATTACAGGGAAGCCATCTCTGTCAAGCACCTTGGCTTGGGAATTGCCCGCAACAACAAGAATTACATCTCCTGTGCTGCTATACTGGAGAGACTTTATCTGGTGACTGAAAAATTAGAGAAGGAAGTTGTCAATACTGTTGCTGTTTAAATCATAAGTTTCAAAGAGCAAGCAAAGAATACATTTGTTTTATAAGAAAATATAGCACAAGAAACACTATCTTGAAATATATCAAGAAATATATCCTTGATTTAAAAGGATATATTTTAAATAACCAGTCACATACCCAAATACTTCTAAATTGATCAGACCAATGCGTATCAAATTTTAAGATACTTTTAGCAGCAGCACCTTATGCCATATAGATGGTCTAAAACTTATTCAAACATGACTAATAACTACACCAATTTAATGGCATTTAGGAAATGATCTTATGGCTCTTAGATACTGACTGGGAGGCTTAGGAGAGATTGAATACCCAGCCCCAAGGTCAAAGACAATGCTCTGAACTCGGAACTGGAAAGCAGAACTCTCTCCCTCACTGCCTTGCAGCCAGCACAGAAAGAACCAGACCAGTTGCTCTCTGAGCTCAGAAAATCAGCTTCAGAGCAGTCCAAGGGAGCATTTGGGAGGGTAGTGAGTGGCGGTGCCTAGGGTGTCCACAACATGAGGTATCTTGAAGCTGCTGTAGCCTCCTTCTCTCTCCCTCCGAAACACTGTTGTTAGAGAGCTACAAACAGCTATCTAGTGAAAATGCAGAGTGGGAGAAGCAGGGATGCAAAGATCTGCTCCCGCAGCTCTTCATTAGTTGTTCATGCAAATGAGGGGGCTTCCTGGCATCTCAGCTGCACCCTTAAGCAGGCTTTATACACACTATTGGAACTGTCCAGATGTGCAAGGTTTTAGGAAGAGTGTTTTGGACAAAAGTTCTTTTAAAAATGATGGGCTGTAATATTCCAATTGACAAATATAATTTTGTTGGGATATCTAAATGAAAAAGTTTGAATTATTGTAGACCAACCCAAAATCATCTTAGTTTATTGGTTAACAAAATTTTAGACATTGCATTATCACTAAAACTGATTTCTCCCTTCAAAGAAGCCAATCCAAGAGACAATTTAATTAGATTTATTGAATGGTATTTGCTTATACATTTCTGGTCTAGTAGCTTTTAAAATAAGCTGTATGTTTTTTCATGATGTAAACACTGGTTCTCTTCTTATTTAAGGTGTGTGTGCATCTCTGTTTTTATGATTGTTCTTTGTATAAGGCACATGCCATGTTTTCTCATCCTTGTAACAATCAGGTTTTAAAAAGTAGAATATGGATATTAATATATTATCTCTTTCATGGATGTTTGAACAACATTTTTTAAAAGTTATGTCTCTTTCAATGCAGGTATATTGCCCTCACATAATATCCTACACATGTACAGAACTTGCTGCTGGAAGTTTCTGTCACAACTCATTGGTACCATACTCTATCCTGGTACCTCCAAGTTTAATAGATTAGTTTACTTCTCCAAAAATAAAACACTACTTTGTAAACTTAAAGAAACTTTTTTCGGGGGGCGGGGGATGAAAATGGCTGAATACTTCAGTGCATGTATGAATTCCTGGATCTCAGTCAAGATCGATATAAATATGTAATGCATTCAATGCACACAGAGTTGCATTATTCAACATCTTCAGCTTAATAAAATACACAGAAAAGATGGAAACCCACTTGCATTCCTTATGGACTATTCATTTATTCCCAGTATAAGCCACTTGTATCGGACACAAACAGAACGTAAAATTAACATGAGAGTAATTAAAAGGGACAAACAGCAAATGATCCCCATCTGAGGGTTCACAAACCATATTAAAAAGCAAATCACATTCTAATCTGTGTTGAAGATGCAACCTTAATCACAATTAGTTTGGGTTTATCTATCAACACACATCATTCATCTTTAGCAAATGAGGCTGTGGTTGGGCTAAGCAAGGATCAAATGGTCTGAACACATAATACTTATACTTATGGCCACCCAGAGAGTCTATGGCTAGTCCAGTGGTTTATAAATCTGATCTGATCTGATCAGCCCACTTGCATTGACTGCCTATATACTTCCAAGTCCAAATACTGGTTTTAACCCATAAAGTCCTAATGGCTTGGGACTACAATATCTGATGGAATGCCTCTTCCAGCTGGAATCTGCCCCACACTATGATCAAAATCTGACACCTGCTTCTGACCGCCTTGGTAATCCTTGCCAGGATTTCTTCCCATGATTGTGGAGAGCTTTAAGATGATCTTGAGCTTTAGCTAGTTGATCAGCATTTTTGTGAATTAACAGTATTGTCCTGCTCATTTAGGATTCTGTTCCCCACACTGGACAGGAGGCATGATGTGAACAGACAGCTGGATTACATCTGAGATGAGGGTCAATTTCAGGACCAAGGACAGCAGTCCTGGAACTAGAGCACTGACACTTCACCTTAGCAGTGACTGGGAACAACTGGTCAGAGTTTATAATCTGGCCATGAAGGGCATTCTGGAAGCTCTGCCTGCTTCAATGCAGCATCTGGATGTTAAAGGCCAGCAGCCCTTTCCTGTAGGTACTGGCTTCTCTGGTAAATGAAATTTGGATAAGGATATGGGAAGCCTCATGGTGCCTTTCCATGGCCAAGTAATCTCCCTGAACAGTAATTCTGGAACTACCTGAGAACAAAGGATTGGGACCCACTGAGGGAGAGGAGTCATGGTCCTAATTCCTGACAAACAAGCTACTCTATACTTGACTAAGCTTTTTATTGAGTCACCAAAAAAATAAGCAACCTTTTCTATTTAAAAACAAAGAACTTGGTTCTGTTTCCTGTCTCCATGTGTTATTGAAGAATATACATTTACTGATAGAAATACAGAAATTACCACCTTTAGTTGAACATAGTATGCATCTATTTAAGTTATTAAATCTGAATAACCCTGAATATTAAATCTGGGGTTGAGAAGTGGTACATAAATATGACTAATAGATAAGTACATTACTAGCCTTCAGGTACTACGTATTTGGGGTGTTCCCCCCAAATTACATGAAACTCGTATATAATGTATACATGACCTGCATAAATATTAAGACTCTAGAACAGTGATGGCAAACCATTTAGAGACCGAGTGCCCAAACTGCAACCCAAAACCAACTTATTTATCGCAAAGTGCCAACACAAAAATAAAACATGAAAACAGAGGGTTTAGTTCAGAAAAAACAATTCACAGCCAGTCCAAGCAAATACATATATAACCATGGCAGATCACTCACTGGCCATGCAAAAGCTCGGACAAATGATGGCTAAAGACTCACGGCTCATGATGTCATTGCCTGGTGCTGCTAGTCCTTTCCAGGACACCTCATTTTTCGAACCCGAAACTACCCTGGTGCACACCCCTAACCCTAATACAGGATGAAAGTTCCACTGAAAAGGGCAATTTTGAAAAAGCCTTCATTGAGTAGCGTTTTCTGCACAGTTCATCTTATCTGCCCATTCTAAACACATTCCAACCATCAAAATCACACCAGGACACATCGTTTTTCTAACCCTAGTCCAGTGATTGTGAACCTTTTTGAGACCGAGTGCCCAAACGGCAATCCAAAACCCACTTATTTATCACAAAGTGCCAGCACTGCAATAAAACCTGAAAACTGAGGTTTTAGTTTAGAAAAAACAACTCACACCCAGTCCAAGTGAATATATATATATCCTTTGCATCACACTGACCGGTCATGCGAAAGCTAGGGTGAATCGCAGCTTGTGAAGTCATCGCCTGGTGCCACTACTTTTTTCCAAGCATGCGCATGGCCCCTATGTCCACTGTTATCCAATGCTCAGCTGCTGGGGCGATGCTGGGGCGACTTGGCTTGTGTGCCGACAAAGAGGGCGCTGCATGCCCACTGTGGCACACGAGCCACAGGTTCGCCACCACTGCTCTATGTTCTTTAGAACTCTTTGTTGTCTTTATTTGGAATTAACAATTATTTCTCATAATGTATTCATATTCATTCATTTTGCTTTTAACAGGATTCAATACATACAGCAGAAAGATGAACAAAGGCAAGCCAGAATATCACTCTAAATCCAATCACATATAGTGAGAAGAAAGGGAGAAAGTGATATTCAAAAGACCCCAAAGCAGCCTCTTTTGACTTTCCAAAGCTAGGAGATTTTCACTCTCCCCCTTATTGTTCCTCAGTCTGGAGATATGGGAAATTTCACAAGAACAGATAGTGATGAGCATTTAAGATCAGGGCTGCCAAATTCAAAAGCTAACATTGGTCCAAGAATTACCAAAAGCATTTACAACATTCAGTGACCTTAACAGAACGTTCCTGACGCAGTGATTAATAAATCGCAGACATTACAGTTCTTGATACTGTTCTTAACAGTGTGGTGTGGGGGCAAGGGAGAGCTGAGAAACAAAGAGCGCATGGTGTGAGTACATGCACGTTGTCTTTGAGGGAGAGCGAAAGGGAGACAGTTATGACTTATTTGGAGTTTTTTTCCTTTAAAAAAAGTAAATATTAAATAAAAAATCAAGCTTTAAAAATATCTTAACTTCCACAGAACATTTAGCATGAAGTTGGAAAAATCAGCAAAGTTTCAGTACATGCCATTCCTTATGTTATTAGTCCAGATTAAAATCGTAATATAATAATAGTGCTGTAATATTAAGCAAGTTATAAGGTCAATCACATTATCTGCATGTGCAAATGCTTTTTTGTAAATGTCTCCCTTTGGAAGGTGTCCCATCCCTACAAAGCTACCAAGCAGCTCTTGAATCTGCCACAAATTCAACGAGGAGTTTTGAGTATTTCACGTAAAATAAAGTTACATGCATTTTCCTGCTCTTTCCCAATTTATTTTGTACAAACATCTCATAGAATAAACTAATGACAATCTACTTTTCTCCACCCTAACACTAGCTCATGTGGCTTTACTCTGAAATCATGAGATTGGTATGACCATGTTTTCATGGAATGGAATACTGTGAACTGGCTCTGTGCTTACACACATAGCCCTTTCACTCCTTTTTCCTCCTTCACCTAGTGCAAATGGCTACAGAAACCCAAAAGGGTTGGCATATCATGCCATCTAAATCTGAAATCCTGATTTGTTGCCTGGCTTTTAAAGCAGTTTGTTCTAATTTGGAAACAACAAATTTAGGGTTCAGTCAACTTACTTTAAATGATTTGTGAATTTCAAAAATATATAATAAAAAATTAACCTACATTGCATGAGATTAAATGTGTCCATTCTGTGTATGCATATGGAGTTTATATACCTATGTATTATGTGTATGGAAGGAAATTTACTACTGTCCATAGAAATATGCATAAGTTTCAACAAAGGCAAGTCAAATATCCCTATATTTACCCATGGATGGCTGGAATCTAAATACCACCTATTAAAGTGTTGAACAAGTCAGTAAATCCTCACTCCATTATACTATTGCGGGGCCAAAACTAATTGTTATATTAGTTGTTTGTTATAAGGCAATGGAAAATCCATTTACACAGATTGTATGTAAGATTCCAAAAAGAGAATAGACAGTTAAGTAGAACACGTACTTCCATAAATGTTAAAACATTTTTCCTATACAAAGTGTGTCAGTATTGTAATCTCACCCTGAAAAGACATTGCTGTTGGGCATTGCTAGAACATGGGAGAAGAAAACATTAGCTGTATCACATCTTCAACTGCTACATCCTTACTGAAAAGGCATCTAATAAAACAAATGCTAAGGCAGCATTTCATACGTAGGTCAGTCAAAATAGAGCAACCTAATTCATTATTCTATTCTTGCTCAAGATCCAATGTATCATATTTGTTCACTGACAATCAATATTTATAGAATCATATTGTAGGTTAATATGTCTGATCAGCCTTGACAAGCAAGTCTAAAAATGGAAGAGACCCTCAAATACAAAGGGCTGCAGGTTTAAGACCAGATGCTAACAGATGTTTTAACTGAATGTATTGCCATTCAGCTGTAGCAGGCAAAACATATTTGGCAGGAAGAGTGGAAAATTACAGAAAGTTATCTCCTTTTCCAGTAACTGATCAAGTATAGAAATCTACTTAAGCATCCAAGTCTGCAATTTATATGTTTTCTTAACTATTTTAAATTTTCGGTTTCCTCATAAGGTTAATCTGGCATAAGAAAATGGATCAAACTATTTCATGCCATACTCCTCTTACTGCTGCAACTGCAGGAGGTAGACTATCTGTTTTTATATACTGAGAACCAAGTGTAAACCGTCTGGGAGAGAGTCATGACCAGAAGGTTCCAAAGCTGGAGAGGGGGGCAATCGAATCTGGGTGGATTAAACCAAAATTTAGTGAAAAGCCAAATGATACAGAACCAGATCAGGGAACACAAATCCACCCTCTTTAATTGAATGCAGCATTTTCAAAGATATATGTAGCTGAATGTAACCCTACAGAAAGTGTAGTCACATGTCATATATATTGGGTATAATGTTACCTTAAGTGTATTTACTTTGCCCCACAGATTCAATTCAAGAGAACCATCTAATGTTACCAATCAATTTCTCAAAGTTTAACTCAATAATTTGACATGTCCCTCTGGGAATTAATATTCCCTAGTAGGTAATGCAATCTGAACAAACAAGAAATTGCCAGTTTGTTTACATTGTAAGGAACAATAGACAACAATTCAGGCTTCAAAGAGTCAAACTCTTACCTGAACATTTACTACTTTCCCAATAAACATATTGAAACAAATTCTGCTTGCTGGGAGAGATCATTAGTCAGTTACCTCTTAACCTGTTGCTGTATAGTTGTGGAGGTTAATTAACCTTCTTGCTTAAAAAACCTTCTTGGATGCTTTTGTTTGTTTTTGTAGGCAATGATATGACCCCTCATAAATGTTCTACTAGCCTCTCATTCAAGAGCAAGAGTCTATGGTGCACTTGTTAAGTTTAAAATACAGCAAAGATTGGGAACAACTCCCTGCTAAGAAAAGATACAGTAAAACACCAGAGACCAGAAGGCATTGGCAAATCTAAAAATTGCAACTCAAACACACCAGATTTGTATATGAAATTACCGGTGTATCTGTCTTATAAGCATTAATTAACTGTATCAGAAGGGGATGGCAGAGAATGAGGTGGCTAGATGGAGTCACTGAAGCAGTCGGTGTGAGCCTAAGTGGACTCCAGGGGATGGTGGAGGACAGGAAGGCCTGGAGGAATGTTGTTCATGGGGTCGCGATGGGTCAGACACAACTTCGCGACTAGCAACAACAACTATATCAAGGATGCAGAAACCAGAAATAGTCTGATCCAAAGCAATTAAAACAGCAGATGTATATAGTCCCATCTCTTCTGGGTGCAAAATTCTCCATGATTCAACCATATATGCTTGAAGCACCTTCATCAGCTTCAGCTGATTTATCAAGTACAACACTATCTGGACAGGCAGAATCTAAGCAACAGTAATTCATGCTCTGATAACAGCTTGTCTGGATTATTATAACGCTCTCAATGTGGGGCTACCTTTGAAGATGGTGTGGAGACTTCAACTGGTATAGGACAATTGGACAGTGAGAATAGGACAGTGAGGCTGCTGATGAGGACTGGCCAATACAAACACATAATGTCGGTCCTCCATTAATTTCATTGGTTACCAGTTGAAATCCAGGCCTGATTCAAAGTATTAACATTAATATTTAAAGCTCTGAATGGTTTGGGGCCAGGTTATCTCAAGAAGTACCTCTTCTCATATGTGTCTACCTGAACTTTACATCATCTGAGGTCCTTCTCAGAGAACCCCCTCTGAAGGAAACAAAGAGGGTGGCTACAAGGAGAAGGGCCTTTTAGTAGTAGCACCCCAACTTTGGAACCAGCTCCCCAAGAGGCTTGTCTGGCACCTTCTCACTTACTCTTTTTTTAGTGTCAGGCAAAGACCTTTTTATTTACCCAACATTTTAATAGTTAAAATAATTTAATGAGATGTTATGGCATCTTTACCTTTACCTTTAGTTAAAATATTTTTCTGTGTTTTTATTGATGTTGCTTTCCTGTTGCAGTATATATGCCTAATTTATTTTTTATTGTGTCTGATATTGTTATATTATATATTTTGTAACCTGCCCAGAGAGTCATCTTGGCTAATGAGAAGGATAGAAATTTAATATAAATAGGTATGAATTGGATCTTTGCTCACCTGTTTGGAACTGGAATATTCTTATCTACCAAAGGATGCAAGGACTGATCAAGAATATTTATGCTTTTATTTCAAAAGATTCTCTGATAGAAGAATGAAAGTCTCCACATATATCCCTAAAAGAGACGGCTTGGGAACTCTCTCTGACATTTTGTCAGATATAGAGTGAAGTAAGATGCTCTCCTGCATTATTCAGGATTCAACAGTGCCATGAGTTAAACATAGACTTTTCAAAAGAAACTATCGATCCAAAGATTTAATGCAATCTCTTTATGCCCAACTGCCTTAGCCTTAAGAATGCAGGGATATGAACGAAGCTATCCAACCTGACTTTTTTAAAGCATCCAAGACACTGGCGTTCATAGGAAAAGCACATCTTCTAAATTTTTATTAGACTTATTGGAATTATTCCATTTCCCCCTTAAAAATGACAATATATTCAGCAGCTGTACTTTTTTCTTGGAAGTTTCTAAATTTAAAAATAAAGCGCCACAATTTTACAAGGGCATGGGAAATAGTGGCATGTAGACTAAACATGGGCAACGCATCCTGTGGTAACGAGGGCTAGGTCTGAAATCTTCCTAGTAAAGTAAAACTTCAAGTTTTCCTTGGGCAATGATGAGAATTGCATTATATATTCTTAAAAGGATGCTCTGAACTGAGAACAACAAACAGAAATGTCTTGTGCTTTCAAGCATATGAAACATCTCCAAGGGTAGTAGTGCTTGGGGACCCACTTCAAACACTCAAATTGTAACTTCCAATTCATTTCTTCACGTGTGTCCAACTTCTCCTTTCTGTTTCCTGCCCTCTTCAAAGAGCCACAAAATAGTGGCAATCCACCACATTATCCATCTGAAATGTGTGTCACAACCACAGGACCTTAAGTCCTTTGAGTCTTTTAAAACTGTATCCCAGTTTAAAAGCAATTCATTGGGAATCTTACTGTTCAATACAAACTCCACTAAGATTTCAAAGACAGATGATTCCAAATGCTCTTCATTCATTTGTGGAACCTTTGTGGTAAACCAGCAGGGGAAAAATAGAAACAGATGTTCAGAGGTTTGTTTTTTCAGTAGCTGGCACTAATTTTAAAGATGCTGCTCTTCTTTATCATTATAAAAATACTGAGGCAAAATATTATATGAGAAAGTGATGGCAGTTTTGATGCACAGATCAGAGAGTCACTTTACTGCTATTGTCCCAAACACTCACACATATGACCGCACCTTGGAGACTAGTGCCATACTATATATAACTATGAAGGTATCATTAATTCCTACAGGGGAGAATTAGGACATACCATTCACATGGTTGCAGAGATCGAAAAGCTTGAAGAGATGCATCCATCCCAGCAAAATCCCAAAATCTGACATCATAGTCGTAGCCTCCAGTTATTAAACGGGCACCTGAAGGATCCAATCCTAAAGCAGAGACCTGTAAAGCAAGGTATACAAACTATTACTTAACACATCTGAACAGATACATTTAAACACATGCACTTGCATCTCATAGCAGTAGCTTATCAATACTGTTGATTTGACTATGTCTTATGCCGTGCAAAAACAAGGACAATCCCTCCTCTGCATTCAACCACCCTTCCTGTCCCTGCCCCTCCTGCAACCAAAAGGAGCAATCAACCCAAATCAAGCAGGCAGCTTATATGCTTAGACCTCCCGATCATACATCTGAACTCCAAACAAATATCCAGTAGTTCGAAAACCAGCTTTGTGGTGGGAAACTTTATCTTTCCAACAAAGAAAGGAGGCTTCTGATGATTGCATTAAATCCTTGTTGCTCATCTGCCTCTGAAGAATTACCGAAACTCCAGCCTTCTGTTTTTAATCAAGAGAGTCAGTGCAGCACAGTGGTTACAGTGTTGTAATTGGTGTCAGAATAGCTGGGTTCTACCCCCGTTCAGCCATAGAGCTCACTGGATGTCAGGTCATGTACTGTCAGGCTAACCCATCTCACAGGGTTCTTAAGATAAAATGGAGAGGAGGAGAATCTTGTAAATTCTTAAATTTAAAAAATTAAATTCCTTGAAAGAGGAAGAAAGGTGGGGTAGAAATGTAGTATAATTATCATCATCAAATAAGGAGAAAAGATAAGGAACAAGTAAAAAAAAATTTAAAAAGGGCTGCAAAGGGCAAAGATAGCCTGATTACAGTTATCAATGCTTTGAAAACCTCCTGTCTGGATTACCATGATGTGTTATTCATAAGACTGCTTTGAAAGGAGTCCAAACATTACACCTGGTCTAAAATGGCACGGTGAGACTGTTGAGAGAGACTTATTAACATGGTCATGATATGACAGTGCTTTGTGATTTGCCCTGTTTTCCAGCCCATTTCTGGGTCCAATTCAAGGTTTTGGCATTAAATTTCAAAGCCCTGAGCAACTTGGGTCCTGAAAAAATGCCTCCTCATATATATGTCTCCATATATATGTCTTCTGATTCTTTGGTGCATAATATCAAAATTTCTGTTCTTAATTGTCCTACATTTATTTGTTTATATGTTTCTAAAACAAACACGACAGCCTTTACTATACCAAGTTTCCTTTCACAGGCAGGTACCATCTGGCCTATTCATTGATGAATCCAACCAATTTTGCAAGTAAGGCCTTTATAAATGGAGTGTGCTGTATGTAGTGCCACAGAGGACAAAACCGCATTAGATAGTTGCTGTGTATACAGCTGAAACAGCTGTAAATTGCAAGTAGAGAAAACATGACATTCTGAATATCTCAGTTGATTATGTAACACTTTCCATTGCTCACCTACATGTCAAAACTGTCAGGAGAAAATTTATCCCTGCAGTTTCATTGGGAAAACCACTCTTGTTACAGGCAAGGCAACTGGGAAATTAATTAGGTTTCTGGAAAGGATCCTCAACGTGGGAAATCTTTTCTGATATTTCTCAGCTGCACAGGAACAGAGTCATCAACAGCTTAAATTCATTAGTTTGAAGAGATACAGATGGGAGCCTTGGTGACCTGACCTTTTAGAAGAGTTGGAGAGGCGGACAAGGGGAGCGATGGGTTCTTTAAATCTTGCCTCTGGGCAGCAAGTCACGGAAGGCGGGTGGGAGTGGGCATGGCAAAGTTGGCTTGGCTGTCAAGGAATATTAGTACAGTGTGAACTACTGCACAAGCAACTGACTGTTTTATTATGCAACAGGAAGGAAGGATGTGTGGGAGCTTTGGGTGTTGATGAGATGCACATTAATCAAATTCAGCCACAGATTGAAAACTGACAAGTGTACAAAGACACATTTTTCCAGTGCTATTCTTACTGGATTGCTATTAAGCAGCTTGGGCATTCTGCATCATGCAATCCTATACTGCTTCTAGAATGCACACATGAAGGAAACACATCAAGTATGAACTTCTTACTGGAGGAGAGTGATAACAAGGGAGGGGCCTTCTAAGTGGTGGCACCCAGATCGTAGGAAGTTGTCTGTCTAGTGTCAATATCATTACCTGTTTGTCACCACATAAACACTCCCCTCTACGCCTACACATCTGAATGCATACGATGGGGCACTTATGGCAGTTGCTCCTATCAGGTACAGTATCTTACTATAACATTTTAGCTTTTTAAGGGAATGATCCTAAGACTGCCAAACAGAGTCTAGTGGACCACAGGAGAAATGTGGATCCCCAGTTGTGGCCTTGTACAAGCAGACATAAGTCAGAGCTGTGACAACGAATTTGGACCACCCTCCCCCACCAACACAGCTGGCATGCAAGACCCAGCTGCAATCTGAAGGTCAGAAGACCAACCTCATACCTGGCAGGAAAGCACAGCAATGAGGACTGGCTGAGATACAATGCAGCACCCTGGCAGTGCCATTGTCTGTCCTCCTTGCAAGCAGGCGCTAAATATTTAGACTGACAATCCTGGCCATCGAAGTCTTTCACAGGGTAGAAGCAGTGTGAAGGTGACCTTTGTCCCTGTGCTCCTTCCATCCTCAACAGATGCCCATAATCCATGGAGGGTTATAGGCAGCTACAGTGGAACACCCGTATAGTATAGAGATCCTATACTATATTTTTATTATGAAGCTTATAAGTTTTGCAAACTGCCCAGAGAACTTTGACCATTATAAAAATGAGTAGCATTTAAATGTTTTTATAAAAATTAAAATACATATTTTATTTATTAAAAATAAAATAAAATTTATTTTATTTTACAATAAAATAAATAAGATACAGCATCCAGATAATAACAGATAAAATCCAAACTTAAAACATTTAAAATAATGGGAAAATATGAAGGCGCCAAAATGGTAAAAGCATCGGCGCCAGACACACTTCTCTGGGGAGCTCATTCCATAGCTGGGGCGCCAACACAGAGGAGGCCCTTCTCTAGATAGCCACTCTTCTGATCTCCTGCAAAGAGGGCTCCCAAAGAAGGAACTCCGCTCCAGATCTTAGAGGCTGGGCGGGTATATATGGGAGGTGGCACTCCTTCAAATCTCCAGGTCCTAAGCCATTTAGGGCTTTTAAAATCATCATGAACGCCTTAAATTGGGCCTGAAGTTCAATTGGAAACCAGTGCAGATGGCAGAGGACCAGCGTTATATGTATATATCTGCCAGTCCCTGCTAGCAACCTGGCTTCTCTATTCTGAACCAACTGAAGTATCCGGAATGTCTTCAAGGGCAGCCCCACACAGACCATGTTACAATAGTCCAATCTTTTTATTATAATTATATAATAATTATAGAGTTTTATAAATGAGTGGTATATAAATGAAACTTCCATCTGTGACCTCCCCTCCACTGGCATTACCAGCCATGACTGCCTGAAGGTCACTTCCTCCAGATCACAGCTCCTGCCCACTTTGATGTAATTTCTTCCCTGAACACTTGCATTCCCCCTTACTGCTTTAGATTATAAGGGGTCAATAATCTGTCTCTTTAACTGTAAATGTGGATGGTGCTGTATATATAACAACCATGTGGCTCCTCTCACAAGAATAGCATTTGGCTGTTCTATGCTTCTGAAAAAGCATGAGAGTACACCATGAAAAATGGCTTCCAAACTGAAGGTGAATCAGCCCTCAGGAAAAACAAAAACAAAAAGAGAGTAGCTTTTTTGCTTTGTACTTGAGTCCATTAAATCATAGACTTGTGGAGTGGAAGAGGCTTTGCAGGAAATGCAGGGCAAGAGCTTTCCCAAAAGGTGATTGTCCATCCTCTGAAGAGGTCCAGTGAGAGGGAGCCATACCCATCTAGGTCATTGGTTCCATGGCTGAAAATCTTTTCTCATCAAGCAGTTCTCTCCTAACTGATTCTGTCCTCCAGTCATTTAAGCCCATTAGCTCTAGTCCTAATCTTTGGTGCAGCAGGTAACAAGCTGCTGGATCAGATCTAGACCTAGTCAAACTAGGTCAAACTTAAGAGTAGACAAACTGAAATCAATGAGACAAATCTACTCTGGATATGGGTCTACTCTGAATATGAACATGTTTGGATTCAATTCTTATTATTTTATAAACCTTTTATATGGCAGATCTTTGGGTATTTATAGTGCGCAATACAGGAGCTCCAGGTCTTCTCTTCCCCAAACTAAACATGCCCATTTCTTTCAAAATTTCTTCATATGACTTCTTTTCCATTCAAGTTGTACATAATCCTCAACATGCTCAATGTGTACATTAGTATCACATTGGCTAAGTTTGTATGCTGTTGATAAACATGCAAACAGATATGGAGATTGCTGGGTATGTTGCAGATTAGCAGGCAATTTAATAAGTAATTAGGTAACATTCTGTTCCTAAACTTCTTATCTTAGTGCTCAAAGGAGGCAAGCTGCCAAGATGCTTACTGTTTTTGTTCCATGATGCAATGTAATTTCATGTGAGTCAGGAATTTTCTTCACAGGATCCTGTCAAGAATAATATAATTAAGAGAAATAGTCATTATACATGTGTTTCTCCAGCATAATAAATAAAAGAGCACAATAAAATCCAGAAATGAAGAAATACATGAATATTCACAGAGTACTTTCAATACAATCCTATAAATCAGCCTTCTCCAACCTGAAGGCCTTTGGAGGCATTCAAACCACAACTCCCAGAATTCCCATCCAGCAGAACCATTGACTAGGAATTCTGGGTGTTCCAGTCCAAATGTGCCTTTATAAATGTTTATGAAGAAGTAAGTCTGAGTCTGGCTAACTCCTCAATAAGTGGGTTTAGGCTTGCAGTTTAGCTGGTTTTATGAACAACATTAAAATAACTGCAAATGCTTACTTCAACAATTCCCACAAAGCATTTTCTAAGCCACGAAAGCAAATAAGGTGGGGGCACACTAGCTCTCTAGCTTTCCACTGCCAGAACTTTGGATTTTAAAACCAAAGTATTTTTCAATCCCATTAAATATACTTGTAAGTTTGACTTACAATATAATTAATGACACCATCTACAGATAAGTTAGAAAATAAGTTAGAATCTGTAGAAACATCTACAGATACATATAACAGATAAGTTAGAAACACACTATGCTGTTAAAATCTTATTTGAAATGAGAACATGAGTGTATAACAGTTGTTAGATAAACTACGATAATCATGTAATGCAATGACTAATAAAGATGTTATGTTCTTTTCCAGCAGAAGCATTCAAGTGCCCATCAAATGGTGATTTATGTAGACCACCCTTTACCAGAGTTCTAGGAAGGAGCAGATGATTGGCCAACATTCCCATCTATTTAAGAAAGCAACAAGACAGGCACCCACCCAACGCCTAGTCACTCTGCTCCTAGCAGAACTGCTGAATGTATAAGCCGAAGCACCATCTGCTAGTCTCAAAACAAAAACGAATTTAAAAAAGAGGTCAATTTACTTACTCTCATGCATCCTTACATAAAAAGTTCATTTAGCCATGATAGTCCATATCTTACTTAAATCAGGCAATTTTTGCTGACAGTTTGTATTTTTCTAGGCTTGGGCCAAAACCATTCTCGTTACAGTCAAAAGATGGACTATCCCTCTCAGGAGGTCTGAACCTTTTTGTGCCTGCGCCAGATTCTCCCCCAGGGTAGCTCTTGGAGGCCACATTAACATTAATGAGTAGACCAAAGGCAAAACGAGCAGGGACAGGTACCAAAAATATCGGGCCATTTGGACTTAAAGCTATTGGCATGGTAACAAAGCCACAGGACAGATATTTCACCCTTTTAGAATCATAGGAGGGATCCTTTAGGAAACACAGGATAGTGGTAATGCAAGAAAAGCCAAGGTGGATGAGACTCCGCATCCATCTGGTCCAGCATTCTGCTCACACAGTGGCCAAGAAGCTGTCCACAGGAAGCCCACAAAGAGGACATGAGTGCAACAGCACCCTTCTGCCCATGCTTCTCAGCAACTGGTGTATATAAGGACACTGCCTCTGATACTGGCATGTAGCCACAGGATGCCTTATCCTCCATGAATGTGTCCAAAGCCATTTTAAATGCATCTAAACTTCTGGTCATCACTACATCCTGGGGAAGTGAATTCTATCATTTAAACTATGTGCTGTGTGCTTGAAACAATGTGGCTGCCCACATGTCCTCTCGAACCTTGACTTTCCTGGCTAATAAAAGCTAGTAGAGAAGTGTGGCTGGCTGGGTCTAAGAAGTGGTAGATTCATCTTTACCTGAAGGGGTGGTTCTTGCTCTCCTTAACACAGTAGTAGTGCAACCATCCCTATGTAATCTAATTGGTCCAAATAATATTCCCACCTAGCTCTAGTGAAGATATTTAAGTGGGTCCTGCTGAAGCAACTGCAGGCACTCTTGGAGGACACTGATCATCTAGGTTCACTCCAGTCTGGGTGTCAAATCAGCCTTGGTTGCTCTGATATCAAAAGGTAGTGGGAGCATGACTCTATTAATTCTGCTCAATCTCTCACTGGCCTCAATATCACTGATCATGACATTTTCTAGATGAACTTCATGGGATCAACACTGTGTTACAGTAGTTCAAATCTTACCACCACCTGAATCTGTGTCTAGACCCAGTGGTGGGCTAAATGTAGGCCAATACACTGATGAAGCACCCTGGCAAAACAGAAGCCCTGAGGGGAAGTGGTTCCTGAGTCCAGATGTTAGGCTTATCTCTTGCTCTGGATGAGGTTATGCTCCCTTTCAAAGCTCAAGTTCATAGTTGGGGGTACACCGAGGTCCATCATTGTTGCTGAAGGCTCAAGTAGCCATAGTTGCTCAGGGAAGCCCAAGACACAAGCAACAGAAGAATGTTCTCTAAACATATACATTTAATTAGCTTGCTAACTTTCCCCTTCCTTTCCTTTTAAAGGGACTTCTAGGTGGCTGGAATCAAAACAACAGAGAAGTTTAAGTAGAAGAGCTGGACTAGGCTGAACCAAGGAGCAATTCTCAACATGCAGATATTAAGTGGCATTTACAACTGCCAACTGTACAGCATAAAATATGCAAATTCACCACTGGTATTCCAAGACCAAGTTTCTGAAAATACATTTTGGAGAGAGAGCATTAGCTGTGCTATCCAAGGGATTCCAGAGTTTTAAACAAAACTGTTTAATCAAAACAAAAATTAAGATAACAACCTCCCAGGACAAGCCTTGGCATAACATCTCTTAAAAATAGCCAAATGTTTAAGAGGAATCAGTGTGACCCCATTCCATTTTAGAAACTTTGAACTTCCTACGTTGCAGAATGTACTATAAATATCTCAAACCCACCCCAAGAATGCCTATATATGAACACAATTTCGGCTGCAAGTTAAGATGAATCTAGTAATTTTGTTCCAAGCACTAGGAACACCAGAGAAGCATATATCATATACTGAAGGAAAGCATGTAGGTAGTATAGTGTTAAAAAATAATGACTTCTATGACAAATGGCCCTCAACACTTGCAAGTGTTACCATAAACCTGATTAATTGCTATGCCTGTCTAACTTAGAATCTCATATCATTCCCTCTGTTCCCAATGCTCAAGGGTGAGTGCTGTTGCTTATGTGGCTAAAATGTCAGAAAAGTGGGTGTCATTGTTCTCAGAAGTACAATGACTTATAAGGGAAAAAGCCCAGGCCGAAGGACCTTAAAAGAAGCCTAATAAGCATCCTCAATAGTCATGGACCTTCGACACAGAAGACTTTCAAATAGAATTTCAGACTTTACTATGTATCATACCATAGAGACTTTGAACTTCTGTATAATAAAATTCACTATTCCTCTGACTAATCCCAATTATCACAAATTCATCAGATGGAACCCAGTAACTGGACCAGGTCCCACCAAAATCAACTGAAGGTATAATCCTGTGCAAGTTTAAACAGAAAAAAGGTCTAGACTTCCAGCATACCTCTAGCTAGCTACACTGACTGCAGCATGCTGGGAGTTGTGGGCCCTTCTCGCTGTCCAAGCTTGCATAGGACTGGGCCCTGAGTCATTAGAAGAATGAGTAAATTAGCCCCGTTTTAATATGCACTTCCAAACACGCTGTCCATATATCTCCTCACCGCTACCACATGCAACACAAACACTTCTGCAAAAATATCCATAAAACCTGTATCAGACACAGTGCTCTGGTTTAGATGCAACACTCTATTACAATTTGTTACTACCACAAAAGTACTAGTTTTGGCCTGGCATGTTGCAGTTTTCTGGTCAGCTCAGAAACTGCAGTTGGTTACTGCTCTAAACTTAACTAATACATATATGACAGGCTGCACTGATTAACTATGGCTGTATAAACCACCAGTTGCTCAGTTCAGTTCTTCTTCCCTTCATGCCAATTTGTTCCAATAACAATATTATGTATGAACCAGACCAATATTATTTCCTCCACAAATGCTCTACGTCTATCTAGTCACAGATTTCACTGAACCCACATGATTCTGGAGGCCTGCAGAAGAGGTAAATACAGGGAACATGGTACACCATCACCCTCCATCTTTCTGTGCCAATTGTATTTTTTAACTTATTTTTTTGGCCCCTAAAAATTATGCAACTGTGCCAGTAATGTTTAAAAAGTGTTAGTGACGTCAGTCTTTCACAAGTATGCTGTTAAAGCTGCCCAATATGCAAAGTGTCGCCTGGTCAATTTCTTTCTCTGTCTCAGATGTCAAAAGGAGCTGTCAAATGCAACAGGTAACAAACTGACAAACACTACATATGGGTTATTTGTCCACAACTGCCAGGGACCAATTGCCAAGTTGTCAGCTGAAAACTACTGATAAATGAAGAAAAAGTTACAAAAGAAGGAGCACCCAAAGGCAGGGTATGTTTAATTTTCCTCTCTTGACAATGTAATCTTTTTAATTGTTGAACTGACTTTTCTCAGCACTCGGCATCTTTTCAAAATAAGGAAAATCTGCCAACCTGCCCCCGTAGGCTTTGGACTTGCGGTATCATATCCCTCCTTTCTCTTAAGGTTATTTCTGCCCTGATCTTTTGCAAACATGCTCAAATCAGTTGATAAGCAACCTCATCTTGTCAATATTCTTATTCTTATTAAGTGTGCACCTATGAAACACCACCACCATCATAATAATTACAATGCCAAGTAGAAGTATTTAAGACCTGGAAGAAAAACCACTGAGAAACAATTTCAGTCATTCCAAAGAGCTGCTTCAGCATCAGTTGAGGGGCAGTCACTGGTGAAACTGGAAATTTTGGGTAGGACCACTAGTAGCACAAGCTTTTTGCCTTTCTGGCCAGGCAGCTATCTAGCTGTTCCAGGCAACCTACAATTAAAAGTGCTCTGTTGAGACTGAATGCCAAATAAGCTGTCATGGATATAAAGAACCCTAAAACAAGCCAAAGATTATCAAATTAGCTTGTCTGTGAAAAATAAGCCACCCTACAGAAACCGCACTGGTTCACACAGCATCACAACCCACCATGGGGGCTGCATGACC